ACAAGTCCAGGGGTCACTGGTGAATGATTAGGAGCCATTGTGAGTAAGAATCACATCAAATCAGCATGTCATCCCCATTCTGGCAGCCCATCTTTGCCCTATGCTACCAAAGCAATACTGCACCAGCCAGCAGAGGTATCGTCTCACCAGGCCTACTACCTGGAACCATGGTCCAGCAATTGAGTCTTGGGATAACCCTATAGGTGTGGATGTCAAGAGCTCCTTGTGGCATCTGATCAACCCCACATGTGGGATATAGAGTCTAAGAGTTCCTTGAAAGGAAAGAATTGGGGATGGAGGTTCATGAAGGTCTTGGTCCAGACTCAAGGTGCTCTACCTGGCCAGCACTGCTGTCCTTGGCTCGTCCAAGGCATGGGACGGGGGGAACTCAGAAAATGTCTCAAGAGCTCTCCAAAGCATGCTGTTTCTTGACACATGAGGCCAGAACAGGGCTTCTCTTGCCACCGACTAAGAACAGTACTGGATGAAATGAGGGAACATGTGAGGTCAAAGCTGCAGAGGGAGGGAAGGGAAGATAGGAGGGTGCCAATGGATCGGAAAACTGAAAGATCATTGGTTCAAAGTACTAATAATATAATTGAATAACTGATATACTGAGAATAAATAAATTAGCAAGCTGGAAGTTGAGGAGGTCAGGTAGCACATAAGCCATATGAATTTATAATTTCAAAAGTACAGCAGGTGTAAGTGATGATAACTTCCAGAGCTGCTAATTTATGGCTGTGATGGAATATATGAGGGCACTGGAGATGAGGTCAAGAAGCTGAAGCCAAGGTGCTGGGGGATTCATTCCTATAGATGCCAAGGTCATTCAAGATGATAGTAATGTTTGGGATGAAGAGGAAGACTGCAAGAAAGAAGCCAGAGATGTTAAGGAAGGAGAGGAGGCACTGAGGAGGGCAGCAGGGCTTCCAAGTTTCATAGCCCAAAGTTAATGGTTTTAAAGAGAAGATACTACCTTCCATTCACTCATTTAGCAAGTATTTGTAAAGTGCCTAAGATAGATATATGAATAAGGCATTATCATTTCTCTCCCACTTGATTTTGTATTTGTTGAGTGCAGGAACCTAATTAAATGCTTGTGAAATGACAAAATAAACATCAGGCAGTCTCTCAGTGCCAATAATCTAAAGAAAATAATAAGAGGTACGCCGCTCACAGTGTAGTAGAAGAGAAGAAAGATAATGGCTCACATTTATCTAGACCTTACCATGTGCAGGGTGTATTCTCATATATTATGCCTTTGAAACCTACCAATTGTTCTGCACTGTAGACAGGCCAGGGATTATTATCTAAATTTTACATATGAGAAAGCAGCCTCAGAAACATGAAGTGACTCACCCAAGGCCACAGGGTTCATAAGCATCAGAGGCAGGATTTCAAGTTCTCGCTTCCTGTCATTTGCCTAATTGGCATTGCTTTGTCACCCCCGTGAAATAGACCTTTCTCAATGGCATGAACATCACACTGTGGAGAGGACTGTCTGGATTTGGGTCCCCTCTTCTTTTTTCCTTCATAAAGCAATTTTCTCAAACACTTCCCACATTTAATTTGGGCAGCAGTTTTTAAACAAAGGAGTACACACGTTCCATTTGAGAGTAACCTCAGCCTCCATTTGAAAGTCTAGAAAACACATAATAAAACTGCCCTGAACTCTCTTGCTTTGAGTCTCATTTTTCTTAGAGTTTTTTTTCCCCTCCTAAACCACCCCAGTCAACCACACATGGTGCATTTAGCAAAGTGCTGCCCACAGAACAGGCATTGAAAGCACAGGCTTTAGGGGTTGCGAAGCAACGTATGGTTATTTAGAAAAAAAAAATGCATGTCCATAGGAAAGTTTGCCTTTCACTGAACCAAGTGTTTCCTCTTACATTCGCCTGGACCTGCTTTCAAACTCTGTTCTTTGTTGCTTTACAAAAAGATTGTTTCTTCATTAGCCTTTAAACCCTGCTGATAATAGACTCTGGAATTCCTTAAGAACTATGCGGTGGGGAGGGGAATGAGGCGGGTGGGTGGTTGCACTGTTAGCATCTTATCAAGGCATTCCCATTCTTGTTCGTGTTTTCCAGTAACTAATATCCTATAAAAGTAAATGATTCATCAATATTTTGGTCTGATATTTTCTATGTGGATTAGATACGAAATCCCTCAAATTTGTAGTTATCAGTTCAAATAGATTCTTTCTCTAAGCTTCAAAGTCACACTCCAGTGTCATTTCCCAAGTGGACTTACAAAGAATTTTCCAGGAATGATAGGGGTTTATTTGAATAACCAGTCTTGGCACTCTTTATTAAGGCACTCATGGCTGGCCTGCTGCAGTGGTCTCCTAACAAGATGACTCTTCTCCATTTTCAGCCCCTCTCTCCATCCACCAGGTGCATCCTGCTTGAGCTACTTTTCAAGGGTCACTTTTGAAAGCTCCCCATTGCCTAGACAATGATATGTAAGTTTCTTAACCTGGCACACAGGGGTCTCTTTAAACTGATTTACATCTACTCTCCCCCTTGCCTCACCCAATAGGCTTTCAGGTCCAAAACCCCTATTCTACCTCATGGGTTTAGTCACTGACCTAAAAGTGCCAAGCCAGAGTTCCTGGATGTTTTTCTAGAAGGGCCTTGGATTTGGACTGAGGAATGATCCAATCCATTGCCAGTACCTCATCAATGTACTGATTTCCCTTGCTCTCCAACCTGACTGAGGGTGACTTGAAGGAAGTATGGGATTTTTCAGAGAAAGACGCTAACTAGGTAACTTAAAGAAAATAATGCAGACACAAATGAAAGAGCAGAGCAACGATGGAATTCACAGAAGGCAGGTGCCTGATTCTAACTTTAGTGATTCTCCCCCAGTCTTGTCTGGAAGATCTTATAAGGTTACCCAACCCCTCAGGCCCTTTACTTTGTAATGGAGGTTGGAGTACAGTCAGTGTACCAAAATACTTGACAAAGCAACCTAAAGTAGATTCAGACTATGGCATCTGCCAGATGTGGTGGACCCATAAATCAGTTCTTGCGTTGGGATCTGTTCTTCAGATGTGTGTCCCTGACTCCAGATTACCCCTCACTTTCATTTCTCACTGATACTTTCATTTACAAGAATCCTGATTCTTGGAGCTTCCTCTCATATATAGATCCATGAAGAGAAAGGTTCTTCTCTAGCTGATTAACCAAAACTTTTATTGGCAAACATGCAGATGAGCATTTTGTCATGGTCCCACTGATTAATGGAAACACTATTCCATATTAGTAACCAAGCTAAAACCAAGAGATCTCTCTCTCTCTCTCTCTCCACCCCCAATACCCCGTGTGTGTGTGTGTGCGTGCGTGTGTGTGTGTGTGTGTGTGTGTTTAATTAGCTTGCCTTTCTATCAGCTTCATCATAGCTGGCATTATGGGCCCTGCCATGCAGCCTCTAAGGTAGGTTTCTGAATGGTCCCCAAGTAGACCATCTTTAGCTTTGGCTTGGTCTCACAGCCTGAAAGACTGAGCCTGCTGTTGCAATCTGTATACAGAACAATGCCATGATCTCTGAGACACTCCTAAAAGGGAAGTACCTCCATCTTGGTACATTAATTATGCAGCACTCAGTTTTTATTACTGGGAGACATTTGATTTAAATAGGTGGAGATTTTTTATTGCATTTTAGGTTTTGGGGTACATGAGCAGAGCATCCAAGACAGTTGCGTAGGTACACACATGGCAGTGTGCTTTGCTTCCCTTCTCCCCTTCACCCACATTTGGCATTTCTCCCCAGGCTATCCCTCCCCACCTCCCCCTCCCACTGGCCCTCCCCTTTTCCCCCCAATAGACCCCAGTGTTTAGTACTCCCCTTTCTGTGTCCATGTGTTCTCCTTTTTCATCACCCACCTATGAGTGAGAATATGCGGTGTTTCATTTTCTGTTCTTGTGTCAGTTTGCTGAGGATGATGGTGGAGATTTTTAAGCATTTTTGTTTTTCTTCTTTGTTTTTTCTTGACTATGTTCTGGAAAGTTGAAGTTGTTGGATTAGGGATTAACTGAGGTGCCACCTAGACAGTTAGGGCTTGCTCCATTCTATCTCAAAAATTATTCTTTAATTTAAATAATTTAAATAACAAATATTTTTCTTGAAAGGTTTGACTGTATTCCACCACAGAAATTATATGTCACTTGATTTCAGAGAGTCAGAGTTGACAGAATTGAGCTATTTCTATTCTCTATGACTTACTGTGTTCAGATTTTCTTCTCTACAAAATACTTTAGAACAGAGGGAGAAGATTCATTCCATTGTGTAACATTATATATGTGCCACAGTGCATGAAACTGCTTTTTTTCTTGTACAGAAAGATATTTCTCCTCCAAGTGACATGTTTAATAATGAAATTATAATATAAACCTGAAAACAGGAAAACAATAATTCTAGACTCTCAGAAGTGAGAACTGATAGAAATTTCAGACTCAAAAAAACTTTAGGCTCACATAATCCAAAGCTCTCATTTTACAGAAAAGGGAAATTCAGGCTCCAAGGGGGCTCTTCTTGTCCTATATTGTACAACTAGTTAATGGCAATGCCAGGCCTTACTAAATCTCAGGGAGAGTCTTACCTACTAAAAATGTGAGCTGAAAGATTGACAGATAAAGTTATAGGAAGCCTGGTGTTGGCCTCAAACAATCCAGGACAAGGAGAAGAGGACAAAAAGCAATTTTGGCACATATGGATGATTGTTGAGGCTGCATGATATATAAATGCATAGTCATTATAGTCTCTTTACTGTACATGTCGGGAATTTTCAACAATAAAAAGGTTTTTAAATGTAGGATAATTCCAGTCTACCAGGCTATGCCATACAGTACTCACCACAGTATCTTGGAACTGGTAGGTATTCAAACAGGAGAGTTGGTTGACCAGGTTGATAAAGGATAAAAAAAAAAAAAAGAAATAGCAATGGCTGCAAACAGCAGCTTCCTTGGTAGTGTTCTTTGTATGGGTTGCTCTAAGGGACCTTGGAGACAGGCTTTCCAGATGTATGTTCACGTGTCTCACCTTGCACTGCCCCAATGTAGGCTCCAAACAGGCATGTGAGGTGCCTTTGGAAAGCCCCAGGGCACTGTGGCCAGGGTTCACATTGGCCAAGCGATCATGTCCATCTGCACCAAGCTGCAGAACAAGGAGCATGTGATTGAGGTCCTGCGCAGGGCCAAGTTCAAGTTCCCTGGCCGCCAGAAGATCCACATCTCAAAGAAGTGGGGCTTCACCAAGTTCAATGCCGATGAATTTGAAGACATGGTGGCTGAGAAGCAGCTCATCCCAGACGGCTGTGGGGTTAAGTACATCCCCAGTCGTGGCCCTCTGGACAAGTGGCGGGCCCTGCACTCATGAGGGCTTCCACTGTGCTACCCCCTCATAATATGAACCAATAAATTTACTTCCTGTCAAAAAAAGAGAGAAATATATCATTGAAGGTTACACTGCTAGCCTCTGCAGGCAGCTCCCTCCTTTGAAAGAGAGATCATGCTGCTACACAATAGCCAGAGCCTGTTAATTCTGACATTGCACTTTACCTCTGAAGTAAAATAACACCCCTTTCATCTCTCTGCTGTTAGTAGCTGTGGTGGGCAGCATAATGGCCTCCCCAAGATAACTGCATCCTTATCCCTGGAACCTGGGAATATGTGAGTTTACATGGCACATAGGAATTAAGGTAGCAGATAGAATTGAGGTTGCTAATCAGATGACCTTGAGATAATATCATCTTGAATTATTGAGGTGGGCCCAACACCATTACAATGGTCCTTAAAAATGGAAGTGGGAGAAAGGAGAACAATCAAGGTCAGTGCCATGCCATGAGAGAAGGATTCAATTGGCTATTGCTAGCTTTGGAGTTAGAGGAAGGGACCACAAGCCAAGGAATATGGGAAGTCTCTGGATGCTGAGAAATGCATGGAGACAGATTCTGCCCTAGAGCCTCCAAAGGGAACACAGTTCTTCCTTGACTTTAGCTTGAGAGCCAGTTGAGATTTCTGACCTCCAGAACTTTAAGATCATAAATTTCTGCTGTTTTAAGCCACCAAATTTGTAGAAACTTATTATAGCATCAGCAGGAAACTATTACAGTGACTAAGTTCCACTAATGCCAGGTCATTTTCCTATTTTGATTTTAACTTACGCATGTTATCTTTATGCATTACCACTATATATTCAACTCCATTGTCCCATCTTTGCTGTAAGACCTATGTGTCTTTTGTCAACATTACAGTGGTCATAAATGCAAGTAGCAGCAAAGATATTAATGGGAGTTTGACTGACAAGCCTGGGGTAATGTCAGAAAAAAAAAAGAAATAATGGTGTCAAAGTGTTGATGAAATGTTACTTGCAGAGCCCTGCCTGTACTGCCTGTCTTCCTGTGGTTTTCCCCTCATGCTTTACTTCATTCTTACACTGCTATAAAGACATACCTGAAACTGAGTAATTTATGAAGAAAAGAGGTTTAATTGACTCACAGTTCCAAACAGTACACAGGAGCATGTTTTGGGAGGTCTCAGGAAACTTACAATCATGACAGAAGGCAAAGTGTCAGCAACACCTTCTTTACATGGCAGAGTGGGAGAGACAGAGTGAAGGGGAAGGTGCCACATGCTTTTAAACAACCAGATCTCCTGAGAACTCTATCACAAGATAGCACTAGGGGAATGATGCTAAACTCTATCACAAGACAGCACTAGGGGAATGATGCTAAACTCTATCACAAGACAGCACTAGGGGAATGATGCTAAACTCTATCACAAGACAGCACTAGGGGAATGATGCTAAACTCTATCACAAGACAGCACTAGGGGAATGATGCTAAACCATTAGAAACCACTTCCATGACTCAATCACTTACCACCAACATCCAACACTAGGGATTACAATTCAACATGAGATTTCAGTGGGGACACAGACCCAAACCATATCACCCTATGTTCTGTTATCTTCATCTTAGTTGACATATCTAGTTATGTGGCCACTTTATCTTGGAAGAAAATGCCAACATGTTCTATTTAATAAAAAAATAAACTTTATACTCAGTCTTCAATGTGCTTGCTTGCCAAATGTGATGGTCTTAAGGGATTGGAAATGAGGGGAGACATGTTCCTGAAAAATTCAGTGCTCAAATGTATTATAGCTTATCAGTTGTACACTTGTGGGGAAGGCAGATTTTATCAAATTCTGTAGGCAAGATGTTCAAACTTGATAAGTTTGAAATAATTTATTTTCAAGTTTTCAAGAGCCATATTTTATTTGTAAATAGTTCCTATCATGGGAGTAGACTTCCTTCTTTCACCTCAAGAAATCAGATATGTATAATTGATCTTTGGGAGGAAGTTAAGATTCTGAGTCACTCCTTATCTTCTGTAGGATTTACTAAGTTTAGAAGGGAGAGAACAGTTTTAAGGCTCTTATGGTTAGGAGCCTTTAGGTGGTCTGTCACCAGTTCATGGATTGATATAATTGCAAGACTGAAATGACCTTCAGGTACCATAGTAGCTAAAACCCTCTGGTGTCCAAGAGGCGTCATTGCCACATTCCCGGCAAGGCATGGCCAACCTCTGGTTCACCACATGCAGAGGAAAGGAACTCACTAATCCTGAGGGCAATTATTCTATTTATTTGACAAACATAAAAGTTAGCAAGTTGTTCCTTATATTGAGCCCAAATCTGTTTTCTGGAGGCTTCTGATGTTGCCCTGTTGTGTTGTGAGTCCTATATATAACCATCCTCTCGAGTGTAGTAGTTGGACAATATACATGTTGTAAAGTACATGTATTAAAGATTTATTGATGAAGTTCACTGTAATTATCAAGTGATACAACTAACTCCCTGCTGGTTATAGAGAATACATTTCCCCAGAGGTAACATGGTGAAGGATCATCTTCAACTTTATGCAGGCGGCCCACCTGAGAGAGGTTCAAGTCCCAAAAGATGCACCTGATATCCATATAAGTGCTTCTCAGCTTGTCAACAATTGACTTAATGCAAACATTTGCTCTGATTCCTGATAACAGTGCAGAGCTGATCACAGTATCCACAAGGCAAATGTTTGGTCATTGTTTGGCCCAGTGTTTTCCCGCTCCTTCTGTGCTTGACAAAGTGGCCAACATAAGATAAGGATTGCATGGCTGTCTTATAGAACATGTTCTAGATAGTAGTGTAAAAGTAGATAAAAATATGTTGCAGAGAGGTAGTAACTTGCATGTTAAAATATTGTTTTTAAAAACCAGTTCCTTAATTGGTCTACAAAGAGTCCAAAACCCCAATGTATTTTTATTCACAGTTAGAATTTCCGTAGCTTTCTGGAAATAAACAGATGCATTAATAATTTCTCCTGTTCTCTCACATTGAGCCATCATGTCAGCCCAGGAGGTGAAGCCTGAGGATTCAGTATCCTGTCTAAAAGTAAAGATTGAAAGAGGATGTTATTTCAGTCCAAATTTCTATGTTTTTCCTTCCAACCTCAAATGAACTACTTCTTCACTCCTAATCTCAGACTCTACATCTGTAAAATGAGAAGAATGATCTATACCAGTTTTATGGGCCTGTTCAGCACTGCTACATTCTGCTCCCAGAATAAAATTTTGGAAAATGTCTTTATCTGTCTTCACAATCACAACAAATCACCTTTATGTACTCTCTAGAGAGTTGACTTCTTAAAGGAAACTCCAGTATTAGATCCCTTCTGAATGGCTTCAGTTGAGTTATTTGGTTCATTCCAGCTTTGGGAAGAATTCCAATAAATCATCAGCAAAATTCCACATGCCATGCGGGGAAAGAGCAACTTCTTTTCCTCATTTCTGGCCTGGGTTTTTGGAAGTGACTCTCTCCTCTCTGTCCATGAGCATCCAGGCCCTCATTCATCACCACACCCTCCCTGGGACTCTTGCATTAGTCCCATTGCTGGTCTCCCTGACACCAGGTTGGTTCCTCCTCTCCTCTTTGATGAGGTAAATGCTCCCACCAGACCAAAGTTCTCATGATGCATATACCCTGGGCCATACAGCCTCCCTTGCTTTTCCATTAGTCACTTACCACAGAAAGTCCAAGGCCCTGATTACTAACCCTGGTATCAAAGGCCCCCAGTGACTTGGCCCTGTCCTCCCTGGCCTTAATGTGCATTCCCTACAAGCATGCTGTACTCTAGTTCAGTGTTTCTTAAAGCATGGTCCTGGGGCTACTGTCTTCCTACTGAAACAGAAATGTTCAGGGTGAAATCCAAAAGTATGCACTTTCAATCTACTCCTTGAGTAATTCTTATATATACTAAAGTTTGTGAACTATTCCTATAAACCACCTCCAGCTCTCTGTCACCAGCATTTAAGTCTGTGCTACTACACTAATCTCTTTCTTAGGTTGTCAGAGTAGACACTAAAATTGGAAAACCACTGGTCTAAAGAGCAAGTTCAGGAACAATCTAAAGAAAACTCTCAAGGGAAAGTTGAACTCTAGTTTGAAAGAAAATGATAAGCATGATGACTATCCAGTGCCTTGGAAGAAGAGTGAGGAAATGGCCAGTATCATAAAGAAAGGAGTGTTTGAAAGCCATGTTTTTTAGAAAGAGGAGATGGGATATTAGTGACTGGAAATCATTAGTAATATCAAATGTTGATAGCCTGATGATTATGCTGTGAAATCTGGCCAGATCAGCAGAAGGGAACTCTGGACGAGGAGCCAACTTCTGAGAGAGATTGGGCTTGAGAAATTGCATGCACCTCCAGTTGTAACTCAGCCCCATGAAGGTAATAATGGTGTCTATTCACCACTGTACTTGCAGTGCCAACCTAGAACATTGAATATAGTAAATACTCAATAATTTTTGGTTAAATTAGTGAGGAAATGAGTGAATGGGTGCCCAAAGAGAAAATGGGAAAGGTATTTAGGTGTTGGATAAAACAAAATCCTTTGATCACTGACACACTATCTTATTTTCTTCTGGGTCCTATAACACAAACAAAAAGATTATGCTTTATGTAATCTCTCTATAGAGTTTTGGCTTAAAGGATTGCAAAATTAGAATATGGATTATAATTCATTCTATTATAAAGACACATGCATACATATCGTCATTGCAGCACTGTTTACAATAACAAATACCTGGAACCAACCTAAATGCCCATTGATGATAGACTGGACAAGGGAAATGTGGCACAAATATGTGATGGAATACTATGCAGCCATAAAAAACGATGAGTTCGTGTCCTTTGTAGGGACCTGGATGAATCTGGAAACCATCATTCTCAGGAAACTGACACAAGAACAGAAAATCAAATACCACATGTTCTCACTCATAGGTGGGTGTTGAACAATGAGAACAGAGGGACACAGGGAGGGGAGCATCACACACTGGAGTCTGCTGGAACAGAGGGACAGCGGGAGGTAGGGATGTTGGGGAGGGATAACATGGGGAGAAATGAC